GTCAGCCCGTCCATTGGCTGTTTAGTGATCCCTTCAGGCGGAAGCTCTCTGGGGTGTGTTCCTGTGCAACCTGAAGATGTCACACTTTGTGTCCACTCTCATAGGTTCATCCACATGTCTTTCGATTTCTGTGAGTCAGATCCCTCAACCGCCAATTCTGACTTTGCTGCCCTTGTCTCTGATCTTTAAAAGACCGCTGCCGGCCTCTGCTACTCCAGGATTCTATCATTCCAGGTGCCGCTGGAGAACCCATTTCTGGAACAGCACCTGCTACTGTCAGATTCAACCTTCAGACGACAGCCATTGCTGAGCTCCTCAATGGTCCTGGTGGCCCTGTCACCACTGCATTCCTTAGGGTCTTACCTGTTGTACTAATTCTGGCATCTCTCTTAAAAAACAAGACAGTTAAACAGAGACCTATTTATTGAAGAGTATGATCAACACTGAAAATATGTCATGAATTTTTATATTCTAAATAACAGATATTGAAATTTAATTTAATCCTCACTAATTTAATCCTCACTAATTCATCTATATGGTCCAATCAAATTCAGCAGTTGTTACAACAGGTGTTCAAAAACAAATAGACCTATATAATTTAGGTTTATTGGACAATGAAGGAAAAGAGAGTAAGTGGACCCTTGGGCCCACGGAAGTACACTCTTGTGGTATTCTGTCTCCGAAATGAATATGAGTAGCAAGAGGAATGATGTTGGATATGCTTATTAAACCAAGACAGCTTCACTAGGTCCACATCTTCAGGTTCTTATTCAAAGGAAGAAGTCACTTGTGGTTGATTTGAAAAGTAGAAGTCACCGATAGTCAAATCCACTTCAAAGATGTGCTCTGCTCAGTTACTGAACCACAAGAAACTCTCAAGTTATTAAAACAAACAAAAAAAAGTCATAGTGTCATTATCTGGCCCTAATGCAATAATGACCAGAAGCTAGTACACAATTATTATTATTATTTTTAAAAAAAGAAGTCGTTGTGCACCTCTTGGTATCTCTACTTTGTTGAAACTTCCAAGAGCCACACCAGCAGCTCATTAGAACCATTTCTTGGCCTTTGCCAGTGTGTTAAATCCTGTGTCATGGGAGAATGTCCCCTGTATTAGTTTTCTAGGGCTGCTGCAACAAAGGGCCACAAACCTGGTGACTTAAATGTATTTATTCTCTGGCAATTCTGGAAGCCAGAAATCTGAAATCAAGGTGTCACGTCTCTGAAGGCTCTGAAGGAAGGTTCATCTTTGCCTCTTTCTCACTTCTGATGGTTGCTGGCCATCCTTGGCATTCCCTGGAGACACGTTACTCCATTCTCTGCCTCTGTTGTCACATGTCCTTCTCCCCTGAGTTTCTGTGTCTGTGTATTGAAATCCCCCTCTTTTTATAGAGACACCAGTCATTGGATTAGGTGAACCCTAATCTAACACGGCTGTATTTTAACTTGATTGCATCTGCAAATACCCCATTTCCAAATAAGGTCACAGTCACATTACCAGAGGTTAGGACTTGACTATATCTTTTTGGGGGACACAATCCAAGCGACCCCTCATATCGACAAACTCTCCCTCATTCAACTTTATCACCCCTCCATCTCCCTCGCATCTAGCCCACTCCGGATCTGTTCCGAGGCACGCACTCACGCCTCCTGCTGGTAAATACCAATCAGATCCTGCTTTTTTAGTGTACACCCTTCTCTCCCATTGGCAGGCCCCAGTATGTGCCCAATCTGGGACTTGGTTCTAATTATTGGTCTGGCGTCCAGAAAGGGAGGTGCGAGCAGATCCTGAAGCGTGTCAGCATTGTTCTGTAAGTCACCTGCTATATTTGAGGCTTTTGCATCGTTTTCAAGTAAGGCAGGGGAGGAGCCTCTATGTTCCAATGAGGGGGAGTGGCCACTTCTGCAGGTCCAGGGGTTCCGAGGAATGTAGGGCGTTAGGTGTTCAAGTGCAGCTATCCCCTAATCCAGGTCTCAGATATCTTCCCACCCTAAATTTTAAGGATCCTGTTTCTTACCAGGATCTTGGCTTTGGTGTAAGAGACATACCTAAGTTCAGAATTCTAGCTTCTCTGGAGTTCTGCTGTTTTCAAAGCTAAGTTTTTGTCTTGGAATATTTTTAGACTCGGTTTCCTCTAATGTCAACATTTTAGATTACTACAATACATTTATCCAAACTAAGAGAGCACCATTGATACCTTACTAATTAAATTTGACACTTTTTAAAACTTTCATTACTTTTTCCACTAACGTCATTTTTTTCTGTTCCAGGATCCAGTTTAGGATACCACACTGCATTTAGTCATCATGTCTCTTTAGTCTCCTCTCATCTGTGACTGTTTCTCAGCCTTCTCTTATTTTTCATGACTCAGGCAGTTTTGAGGACTACTGGTTGGGTATTTTGTAGAATGTCCCTCAGTTTGTATTTGTCTGATATTTCTCTTATGATTAGACTAGGGTTGTGAGAAATACTACAGAAGCAAAATGTCTGTCTTGTTACATCTTATTGGGGGTACATGCTATCAACATGACTTATTACTAGTGATACTAACCTTGATTGCTTGGTTAAGGAAGTGTTTGTCAGGTTCCTCCACTTCCTGTACTGCATTTTTGGGAATCAAGTCATTAAGTCCAGCCCACACTCAGAGGGAATTCTGCCGTTTTTACAATGTGCCTGATCTTCAGTTCTGTCTGCTGTCCAACTGCAGGAGAGAAGGTCTCTTTAAATGGTGACAAGGAAGCAACCGACTATCCCACTTTCCTTTAAGTTGGTGATTGATTGCTTGAATCCTGACATTTTTCTCTCTTCAAAGCATCAATGGCATTTAATAATAGCCACTCAACTCCATGGAGAAATTGCTATTTCTCCCGTGCCTCCCCGGTAGCCAGAGATATTGCATGAACCAGTGCATCCCCTTCCACCTGCATTCCATCCCAGTTCACCACAGGTGAAACCACACACCAGAAACACTCCACCTACCACCTGTGCTAGAGTCCTCATCACCAGCCAGCTAGTGAGAAATAAAATTTAAAAATTTCATTTTTAGGATCTGCTCCCTAGAACTCTCTCTTAAGAACTCCCCACCTCAGAGACTTTGCCTAAGAAGTAGGGCACAGAACTCCCCAACTTTTAGATTTTCAGTCTTCTCTCTCCTAATCATCTCTTATCTTCTCTTAGTCTAGCAGTATATTTTCTTATCTATGGTTTATTTTCTCTCTTTCTCCAATTTTCCCCAAATATCTTTACAATAACCAAACCTCTCTGTGCTTCTTAAAGCTCAGCACAGGGACCGTAGACTTGATACCTAGAGTGCAAAGCAGACCATATGGCATTTTTTTTTTTTGACAAAGACACACTTTACATGTTAACACATAGAAATAGTCCCCACTTCCACAACGAAACATGCGGTATCATTCAAAGTTCTTAGTTGCAATCAACAGAATCTGCTCTAGCTTAAGTGGAATGGAATTCAGTGAAACATGTTAAGAAGGTCTCAGACTCTATGGGAAGACCAGATCTGGATGCTCTACCTCCAGGAAAAAGGCGGGAGAGAACATATTCTATCGTACTGTTAGACGATTCTAGATAAAACACAGCCACCACCAATGCATGCCTCTAAGTACTGATTATGATGCAATGCTGCCACAACAGTTACAGGAGGACCAGTTGCCTCCACCACTGCGTCTGCCACCATTTGCATTGCCATTTGCATACTGCATTCTCCTCTTATTGCTTCCTTTGGCTTCTAAATCTCACTTAAGTGCTTCTGATTTGTCCACATCACATAGCAACATCATAGATGCAAAAGAGCATAGAAAAAGTAATTTTCTCTGCTGGTAAGGCAGGACCCAAAATGTCAAGGACAGTTACGATATTGAGCATCCATAAATGGTGGTTGACTATGCATATTTGCTCCTAGTCTAATTTTTGTTTTTCTACTCCTGATAGAAATATGTGTAAAAAAATGTTTCCTTTCCTCCTCATTTTAACTTCAAGAAAAGCAACAGTGCAATTGTAATGTTAAATGGCAACTGAGTTCAGTGTTGGGGGTGACAATAGGGAATGATAGGGACTTTAGTAAACAGGAGAGCCAATTATAGCCATGAAAGAATGTGGGCCTAATAATTCCAGATCTTCAGATTTTTCGAAATAATCCAAAGGGTTACACTATGTGAGCGGATGTAAACAGTTCCTTTTATAATTGACAGACAATGTTCAGTGTGCTCAATTACTTTTTTAAAAGAAGAGAGTAAATTCTCTGCAATGGACATATCATAACCTGAACCTACAGAAGTCAATGAAAAATCCTATCATCTGGTTAAAAGATGCCAGAGGATCACCTGCTTAGAAGAAACACCTAAGGAAGAAAGAAAGGCTACACAACCACCTGCACGTGTTCTATGATAGAAAATGTACCTCCCTACCTTCACCTAGCATTTGGTTAAGACTTAGAAAAAGAGGAAGAAGAAAAAGAATCTACAAATTAATTTCCCACTGTATATCTTTTTAATAAGCTTCCAATGACATTAAAATGAAGGTCAAATGTAATAGCCGTCTGGGTCATGCAATGTAGATGAAGTCTGTTGGTCCCCTTCAGGAGGAGAAACAGTAAAGCTCATTGTCGAAGATGCAGCCTCTGGTCCTGGGCTTTGTTTCCTCATCCATAAGGCGGCAAGATAACACTGTGTACCTCAAGGAGCTGTTATGTGATTCAAAAGATTTAATGCCTATAAAAGTACAACACAATATCCAGAATATCAGTAATTTTACTACACTTGATCTTAGCCAAAAGGCCAAGAAGCGATAGTAATTTTAGCCATTATAACTTAATTTAGTAATAATAATGATGATGGTAATAATAACTTTTAAAAATGCAGGCTGCATTATCTTTTGTGTTTTCCTTTCTTTTTTGTTGGTACACTTTTTCTTTCTGACTAGTGCTTTTTTTTTTTTTCCTAATCCTGGCCTTTTTTCTCTGTGCATTCTTTTTCCACTGTAGAAAAATTGATGGGACCAATGAGGAAGAAAATAATATTGAGCTGAACGAGGAAGGAAGGCCAGTGCAGACGTCCAGGCAGAGCCCCCCACTCTGTGACTGCCACTGCTGTGGTGTCCCCAAGCGTTACATCATTGCCATCATGAGTGGGCTGGGATTCTGCATTTCCTTTGGGATCCGGTGTAATCTTGGAGTTGCCATTGTGGAAATGGTCAATAACAGCACTGTCTATGTTGATGGAAAACCAGAAATTCAGGTCAGTATCAGTCTACTATGGTGGGAGCTCTCGTGGCCACAGCTGTGTAAATACTTCATTATGTGAAAGACAGAGAGAAAACACTGCATTTCATTCATCGATGTGACAAAAATGTAGCAATGGGTCTAAAAATTACCATAATTTTGAATTTTGAACTATAAACCATAGTTTGAAATAGTGGCGACAACTGTCATGTGATATGAATGTGTTTATATTTTCTACTAGTAATAGAGTCTTAGGTACTGATAATGTAACTGCGGTCTGTTGCCTACATTCATAATTGCAGAAAATGCAACATTTTGGTTAGCAGTTAGTAGAAATAAAGATGCCGATTTTTTTCTCATCTGAGTTCACAGTTCCACAGGATTCCATCCACAGACTCCAGGTCGGGAACCCCGATAAGAGAACAGTAGAGTGTGGGGGTGAGCATCGAGAGATGGAGGCAGCAAGGTATAGAGGGGTCAGGTCACGTAAAGGCTGGTAAACCACGTCGAGAGTCACAGATGGGCTTTAAGAACAGAGGTGATACGATTAGTTCTATGCTCCAGACTCATCACTGTCCAGCAAGTGATCTCCCAATGGATTGGGATTGAAGTGAGGGCAGGCAAGCCTCCCAGTTCAGAGGCTCTTGTAGTTGTAAGCAAGCGTACTCTGAAGTGACTTAAATGGTATTGTTTTTATGCATTGCTGGAAAGAGAAAATCTGGTTTGTTTCTTAAATGGTAGGCCTAAAGAAGTATTGAAGTTATGGAGGAAAAAACAAAAATATATGCCCTGTAGATACCCAAGAAATACATGTTTCATTGTATTGCACACACGCACTGGAATGAAATCCATCCATTTGCAGAGAGGCATCTAATCGTCCCACCCACCGTGGCAGGAACATTTAGACCAGAGTTCCCCAAGTGGGTGTCTGGCAAATCCCCCTTCTGCAGGTTGTGCTGTGAAGATGGCGTGTGAAACGGGAGGCTTTGCCATGCTTTGTCCTATGAGAAGCTCCGAGAGGAGGCTGTGATATGCAGTGTTTCCAGGAATCGATTGCAGAACACTTTCTTTCATGCTACATCTATCAGCATTACTCGGAAGAATTCTTGCCAAGGGCCGATTTGGGAAAATGTGATTGATTTCAATTCATTAAAAAGAAGTCTTTTTTTTTTTTTTTAAATCTGAGAGATTATTCTGCTAAAAGAAAAGAGTGCCACGGAGATTCTTCTAACTAGTATCTTCTTGATGCTGAATATACTTTAAAGGATATCCTGGTTGTTTATTTTTTAAGGGGGAAGTTGAAGTGTGGGGGGCATGTCATGCATTTTTAAAATAAAGAATGATGTACTCTAGCAAGGTTTCAGATGCGTATCACATGAG